CCCCTTTACCCTCGCCTCCCGGGCAGCGTATTCAGCTGAGGACCCGCAAATTCACCACCTCCCGTGCATGCAGCTGGGGGCTGCTGCAGCCCGCAGAGCCCAAGGACCGCGCCCCCCACCCGTGCACCGGGGATCGCCTTCCTCTCTCCCCAGGGGCCCCGCTTCGGTCAGCGGTACTGCCCCGCGCCTCGCTCCTGGTGCTGGGGAGCACCGATAACCTTCTCGCCTCGCTCTTGCCTCTCAGTTTTCATTTTTATCTCGTTAGGGGGGATATGCGTTACAGTTCCCATGTTACGTCCTTGCCAAGTTCTGCTTGGGGAGTAATGGTTATGAAAGAAGCAAGTGGGCTTATTTTTCCCACCTAAATCCTTCTTTCTCCTAAATTCCCGGCAGCTGGATGTGTTTCCTCTGTTCTATAAGAAACACCCACGGATCTCTGTGGGAGCGTGTGTGTCCCTTCTCTTTATTAAGAGATACAGATGGAGCTGAGAGATGTGCCCTCCCCTGCCTTCAGAAACAGGTCAGGTCAAATGGGTATCAGTCATCATTTGCTTCCCCAAGCTTTGGGGCAACTTCTCTCGCTTTCTCTTTTTCCTCCTATTCCTTAGACATGGCTACAGTAGGACAGTTGCTCTATGTGCTGCAGGGAGGCAGGCTGGGCTCCTCTTCAGCGCCACTCAGAAAGGTCAAATGAATCCAATGAAACTGCATTTGGGTGTTAAACATTTTCATGATAGTTCAGCCAATGCTCTTGCTTTAAAAGAGTTCTTCTGCTGATGGTGGGGGATTCGCTGTGACATGACTGCCAGGGATCACAAGCCCCAGCTGCAGTCGGTAGCACCCCACAGGCACAATAAAATACATTGCTGAGGCTGGATGCCTTGTTATTTCCAGCTGCATTCATAATCCATCCTGCTGCTTAGATCTGAAATACCACTTTGTGCTCCTCAGCCCTAAATCCTGGCCACTACCTGAAGCAGGAACGCTGCCTCCAGCTGGGTGACTGATGCCAATGCAATTTGTCATGGCTGGAAATCCCTTTGCACCACTCCCGCATCCTTCCGTGCCATACGAAAGGGTGAAGTGCTGCATCTGCCGGTGCTTTGGAGGGTAAGTGTGGCCTGGGGCCAGTCTTTCCCTTTTGCTTATAGGACTGGAGCCGCTGCAAGAAGGAAGGTGTCCTTACAGGGACCACAGAGCACCTGCTTGACCCTGGTGGGATCAGACACAGGGCAAGTGTTTTCTGGAATGCTGAAGGCTACCTTGGTTGGGGAAGAGCTGCGGTTTCTGTCAGTCCTAGGGCAGGTAGGTTGTGGTTGTAAGCTGTGCCCCAAAGAAAGTGTATGAAGGAAAATTTAAATTTAGGGGGCCCAGATGGCTCCAGATGTGGAATGCCCATGTACATAAGTCCCATATTTGTATACTATTTCACTAATGCCTTCCCAGAGCAGCTGTCTATCCCCAGACACACACACACCCCCCTTCCAGCATCCCAAGTCGACTCCCATCTGTTCTGGGATGCCTTTTGCTGTTTGCTCCCCATTCAGCTAAGTCCAGCTCCACCCTCCCAAGCACCCAGCACCCTGGTTCAAGGAGGGGCACTCAGTCACAATGAGACACTTTGCACTGCATGCCTAGTTTATCTGTAAGCAACTGCATAGCCCAAGACTGCCTTTTAAAGCAGCCATGTCCTACAGGATCAAGGTAGGTCATGTCGCCCTTGCTGCACTTTGCAATCCTTGGTGGTGGACTAAATATTTCTTTTAACTCTGAAGTAGGAAAGGAAAATACTTTAAAAACAAGTCTTTGTCATAAAATTAGAATTTGTTTAGAGACAAAAGAAAGGTAAAATCTGTGAACACAAAGCTAGCATGAATTTGGAATCACTGGTTTATTTATGTCCTACATATGAGGAGAACGTATTCCTCCAGAACCCTTCAGACATATGAACACAGGACATTGCAATATGAACAACAGATAACAGTGCATGGGGTTATTAACATGCAATATACTACCTCCAAGGGCATCATACCTTTTTTGGCAATATGTCACCACATGTAGAGGAGATGGGAGCAATTGCTAGAGCAGCTGTGCTGAAGTACTAGCCAGGAGATGGAGGGAAGACCACTGAAATGCAGAAAGTATGCAGCAGGAGGGAAAAGAAATGCAGGAGGGCTGGTGTGGCAGCACCTAATGGCTTTTATAATGGCTTAAGACTAAAACAAACATGCAATTTCATGATGGAGTCAGTCTTTTCTGGGTGGTTGTACAATTCATTAACTTGGATTGAATTTTTGCTGTCTGCAGGCTTCCATTGGAAAACAGAGATTATATCAAAACAGCAGGACTGTGGTTAACAGTTGTTTGGGCCACAGCATCCCTGGCTGAAATCACTGCGAAGTGAATGTTCATGGCAAAGATGAAGGGGGTTTGCTGCTCATCGGAGCTGGAAGCTTTGAAGAACTGTGGTGATTTTAATGCCTCATCCTCTAATGCATCTGGACAGAGTTTGCCTTACAAGCCTGCACTGCCACCTGCTGTTCTACCAGATATCTGCGGGTCCTTCTCAGCAGAGACGTATGTATGTACGTCTACGACTATGTATAAACGGCAAGATATTTTCACTGTCCAAGCTTCAAACCTTGTTTGGGGTTGTTCTCCCAAGGGAAAACAGAAACAAGTGCAATGTTTTCCATAGATTAATTTGGTACCAATATCTCTCTGCAGTCTACACATCATTTTTTCCCCCTTAATGTCACCTCAAGGCTAGATGCATAAATGCATCTTCTTTAGGGAAACTATTGATGCCTTTTAAAATTATATTTAGTATATTATTATTTAGTATATTATTAATTATATTTTATTTCTGCCTATCTTCTCTTACAAGCAAGTTTGGCTTGGTAAACCAGTGATTATTGTTACCTACACTGAGTTTATTGGGAGCGCATAGGTGATTTGTATGTCCCGGAGTAAGCTTTGTCCTGGGAGAGGTGTCTGTCTTGCTTGGCATGCAATAACCCCTTTATTTTTGTAGGCAGGTGCCTTTGTGCTGGATCCTACGTGTGGGCTAGGAACGATACTGCTGGAAGCTGCCAAATTGTGGCAGGACCTTTGCAAGATGGCTTGTAGTTGCATCAGGACAAATCTGTCCCACAGTTATGCCAAAGTCCATTACTGGAAAGGTGTTTGTCATTTAAATGACTTTTCTCTTTTTCTCTGAACAGGAAGCCTGTTACAGGGTTGCTGATTCACAGAGGGTGTAGATGTAAATATTAGGACTGCAGGCCTGGTGGATAAGATTGAGTTACTTACCTTTCACAGAAGCTTTATGTCTGTTGAAATTTTTTGTGGTTCTGGGATTATGCAGGTAATGTATGTCGTCTTGGGGAAGTGTACTCAACAAATAGCTGACTAGTGACTCTGTAGTGTAAGTGAATGGATAATTATTTATTCTCCCCACCCTACCCGCAATCTTTGGCAAGAATAAACTAAGGAGAAGACAATGAAAATAATAATCATCAGACAGGGGCAGTAGTTGTCTGGCATTAGAAGTTTGGTAAACTTGTGAATGTCACAAAGAGTAGATACCATGTGAGAGTTGTTTGTGTCTTATGGGAACATAGCAAGGACAAAGCCAGATAAAATGTTGCCTATAACTTAAATGGACCAAAATAGTAATAGTGGGACTCATTAAGCTTGGCATTGAATTGTTAATGTTTTGCAGTAGGAGTATTTTAAATGATGATGCCTTTCTCCTGGAAGAGGGAATCTGTTTGCTCTCAGTTCATGAGCTCTTATGGGGAGAAGGTAGTAATTTTATTACCTTATTCTGGACCTCAAAGCCTGAATATAAATTAGTCCTTTATGAAACTAACGACAGATGAAAGCTGGCTGGTTTTTCTTGTGCATGGTTCATAAAGCATGCTTTTTTTTTTACCTTGCAATATTTATTTCTTACCAGAATCGTAAGAAATATTATTTCTTTTTTGTAAGAATATATACAGCTTTATTTGTTACTTAAAAGCTGTGATTGGGCTTGGTTTCTAAGATAATGGAAGGTACTTTGATGTCAGGCTTTTCTAATACTGAACAAGTAATTGGCACCTTTGTTACTGGTCAAAGCTGTTATTTCTAATGTTTTGAGAAGGACTGTAGATAACTTGTCCTTCCATTTGTAGATAAAATTGTTGTGCTGCAAGTGTTGCTCCAAGGATGGTCCAAGAACCCTCTTCAGCCAGTTCTGGAAAGGCTGGCATAGAATCACAGCAGGGTTTAGGTGGGAAGGGACCACTGGAGCTCTTTAGTCCTGCCATCTGTTCGGAGCAGGGCTAGCAGCAATGCTGGGTCAGATTGCTTAGGGCCTTGTCCAGTCGAGTTTTGAGCATCCTGAGGGATGGAGAACCTATAGTCTCATCCTTTCACATGCTGGCTGCGCTCTGGCCAGTGTACAGCGTGGTATGTGGCTGCTCTTCAACCAGTGCAGTGCTGTCAAGAAAACTGACTATTCCCAAGACACAGAAAGTCTGGGAAGATACTTCAAATACACTAGCTCCAAAAGAATCCAAGTGATTCTGGCTGTAACTGGATTCTTGGGGGAAGGGATGGAGAGGAATTCAACATGTAGTTCCTTGCCATTCTAGCCTAAGTAAAGTAGGTTGCAAGCTTAACTCTTCTTTTGCATTTTGCTTGTAAAGATGTACTGTGTGTTGAGAAGCAAGGTTAGTTTGGACCCATGCAGTCCCCTCTGAAGGGAGTCATGCTGTTGGGGCACACATCACCAGGCAATCTGCAAGATAAACCACACTCTCATGTAATTTTCTCTTCCCAGTCTGCATTGGCTTTGTAGTGCCGTTTGCAAGGATAATTACAGAAGCAGCTATGAATCTGGGTGTATATCCCACAGAAGAGCTGGCAGACAGTTTTGTAAGGTGAATGGGAGCATAGCTGGTGTTCATTTTTCACAGTCGGATGTAAAGACCTGCCTGTATTCTGCAGCATTGCCGTTGCCTTCAGAAAGCTTTGATGCTGTGATTTCAGATACTCTGTTTAGGAACAAGTTCAAGAGCATAGAAAACATACAGCTCCTTCTGGATATTCCCCAGGAAATGGAGAGGTAACTGTGGCCTTTTACATGCTTGGGATGTCATGTAAATATCATGATGGTTTGGAATCCTAAGTGTTCATTCAGCCCTAAATCTTGATTACCAAAGTATCTACTGGAGAAATAAAAGCACAAACTTTTAAAATGCTAAGGATTTGGATTCACCCCAAAACACAGAGAAGCCTGTTCTATATTTGGTAAAAATTCACCCAAATGTTATTCACCAATCATTTACCTTATAACTGAAAAATACCAGCATCCACGAGCTTTTCTTTAAATCCACCTCTAACTCAGCCAAACTACAACTGGAAATTATGAACAATCTAAAACATTTTTTCCAGAAAATATAGGAAATAAAGACCATCAGCGCAATACAGATTTGTATGATAAAGGAAAGTTATGATAGTAATGAAAAATTCAACCAAAAAAGAACAAGGATAAACTCTTATCTCTTGTATCATGGTTTAGCAATAAGAAAAACTAAAATAAAAACCTAAAAGTAAATTTAAACTTGCCATCCCAAAACCAGTCGAGCTAACAGATTAAAGCTATTCATTAAGGAGACCATTTGGAAGATGAATCCGAGGTAGTAACAGGTTTCAATGTAGACTACTGCAGGGCTAGTCACCCTGTTCTTCTTAGTTTAATACGCAAATATCACACTGATTAGTACACTATTATTCTAATCCGCTATCCAGGGTCACTGAGGCAAAATGCTAACAATGTTATTTCCAGTGATTTTGGCTACAAATATCTACCTCAAGCTTCTTATGAAATTTCGTTCTTTTTCCGCCATTACCCTAGAGTCATCTCATACAAACCCTCAGGAAAACCTTCCTGCCTGTGACATCAGAGTAACTATTATGCCTATGTCGTTACTGAAGAAAGTAAAGCATCTCTAACGTAACTTATAACATAACACTATAGCAGCTTTCTTGTTTCCAAATTAAGATTTAGAAAAGCAAAAATAGAACCTAGATAGAAGCACCCAAAATTCTCCATACTTCTTCTAGCTTATGTTTTAGTAGGTTCTGTCGATAAGCTATTGGGCCCATTCCCCGAAAATGACGGTTTAAACTTTTCCCCTACTGATGTGCCCACAAGCATAATTAATCCCCTCCCTAAGCTTAAGGCTATAAACAAACATTATGATTTCAAGCAACCACTGAATCAAATCTTGAACAAGACTAGAAATTCATATCCATTAAAATTAATAGCCACTAAGGGAAACTAGTGTGAAAATGCCACCACCAATGAGGCATTGACGCTCTAATGAAATATGCCCTAGTAAAAGCAGCAGCCTCAGCTTTACTCTGCTTTTCAAGTATTAACCAATTCTTGAGCTACTAGCCAATGAGAGATCACCAAAAATACACCCATCTGCTGACATTACCGACTGCAATCAAACTACTGCTAGTCCCATTACATTTCTGATTCCCAAAAGTACTTCACTGCTCATCTCTAATTACTGGTCTACTACTATTAACAATAATTAAATTCCTCACATTGCTATTCTCTTCCTACCTTAATGCAACATTATAAACCACCATAGCCCTAGAAGGCTGAAGAACATTTCTCATCCATTTCCCATTTATAATTCTTATCTACAGCCTCAAATTCTCCATGATAATTCTCTACTAATACTTTCTAATAACTGCCACAATATTTCGTCCCCTCAGCACAACAAAAATTTCTAAAACTATCAATCGTAATAACTTCATGAACAAAGTTAATCCTTTAAAGTAAATATACCAGTAATGTTAATTTTACTCTTCCTAGCAGTGATACGGTAAAAGCTGTGCAAAAAGTCTTTCTAGGACTGCAGTACTGGAAAGCAGACATTCTTTATTTGCAGTACTGGGTGCAACCTTCCACAAATCAAGCACATCTTTAATTAACACACGGTAAGTATTTATATGTTCTAAGCCACAGTTGTCACTTACACTTAGTCACTGTCATTGTTACTGGTTCTATGGTGTCGCAGCTCCACTTAAAGTTACAGCATTTTTTTTTTCTCCACACAGTCTGTGAGGAGGGGGCTTTCATTAGTAGGGGCTTTCTCTACCCGAGGGTGGATCTTTTATCATTTTATTAATATTATAATGAACTTAGTTCACCTAAGGGACACAAACCAGCTAGAGTTTGTAACTGCTTGGCAAGGCTCAAGGTTTTATGAGTCTCATCTTGGCGTCTGCCAGTTCCTTGTGTCTTAAGGAAATTATTCAAGGTCTGTTAATCACTCGTAGAAAAGAAATACTATTCTGAGAGTCTCTCAAAACCGTCAGCTATATGCCACAGACCAAAGCTTTCAAAGAATATCTATGTAAACCTCACATCCTCTATCAAGTACAGGACTTCCTCCACTAACAGGCTTTCTGCCTAAATTGACAAACTTATTAAACAAGAAATGACCACAGCAGCCACAATCATGGCCATACGCTCAGTGCTAGGAACTCTCTGCCTCTCATGCTACTCAAGAATCACATTTCCACCATACTCCACAAAGAAATCCCTAACTGTAAATCTACTAACCAACTAAGGCCCTAACCTTAATGACCATAACCCCATCCATTAACAACTGAAATTCCATAGCTGATCTGCAGGGCCATACCCACTAATATGTATGAATAACTCTCAATTTGACTGCGTTGGTAGATCTTAACTTGAATTTCCTGTCTACCCAGTGATAGGAAGTCCATCATTGGGTAGATGTTTGCTTTTCATGGCACTAATGACGTAGGGAATGCCCCCATAACATTCACTCCAGTTGTTACTAATTTTGACCTTTTCAGAATTTGCAATTTCATTGCCCTGACATGGCAATCTAGTCCAATGCAAAGATTCTTCCTTCCTGCAGTCACTAAGTCTGAGAAAGATGACATTTGGAGCAGAAATCTTCCATTCCAAGACTGGGCTCTGACCACAAACTGCTTATGGAACCACTGTGACTGCTTTTGGGTCCCAAATTGATGGAACTTTCTTTTTCCCTTCCTCCTGGAGCAATCCACAATTTTCTAAATTTTCTCAATACAGTCTTGCTGACCTATCAATTTTTTAGCATCATCAGACAAGGTGGCAATTTGGTCCAACCAATATGCAGTTCCATACCTTTTCCAAGGACTGTGGTGAGGCTGATTAGCCTCATTTCCTGGATTGTCTTTCTTAGTAATATATACTGTCTGCTTTTTCCCAGTCACTGAAAGCATATGGTCTCATGGCATCTGCCAGCTTTTTCCGTGCTCTCGGACGCATCCTAGCTGATACCATTGACTTACGCATCTCTAATAGACTTGAGCAGTCCCTAATTCTATCTTCCACCACTGTGGGTACTGCATCACTCCTGGAGAATCTAGTAGCAGGCTTGGAGGCCTGAGGGGAAATTTTACCAGTGAAAAGTGACCTTTGACTTTTATAATTCCCTTCCTACATGTGTTGGCAATGTCTCTGTAAACCTCACAAATAATCTGCCCTTGCTTCTACCTTCTGTGTATTCAGTGAAGCCAAACCTGGCAGCCCAACAGTGATGAGGCTTCTGCAGTTCAAGAGCCCCCCAAGTCCAACCAGTAGTGAGGCTAAGCATGTATTCCGAGTAGGCACACAGGCAAGGAGGAATATAGGAAAGCATAAAGTCAAGAAGGCAGGAGGGCAGGAAAAAGGGAATTGAAGTATGTAAGTACATAAAGCGAGGACAGAGGGCAATAAAGAAAGGAGGAAGTAGGAAGTAGAAAGAAGTAAAGGAAGGCTAGAAGGAGAAAAAGGAAGAAGGAAGTACAGTGAGGGCAGAGGGAAATAAGGAAGGGAAAAAAGGGAAGGAAAGAAGGAGGAAAGGAAGGAACAAAAAAAAGGAACGTGGGCAGGTAGCACACCTGCAGATATTGTACCTATTTTTGCAAGTTATGTGCAAAGTCATTTGACTGTAAATAAATTACATTTATGGCTTTTCATGATCTAGGGAAATCTGGAAGTAATGGAGGTAGAAGGGATAGTAGATAGGGAATAAAAGGGAACTTGGTAATCACGCTGCATAATCTTATCTACCAACAGAATCAACTGGCTTTACCTAGCCTGGAAAAGGAATATGTAATTTGTGTGTGATCAATAGCCAAATGCTGCATCACCCAGTGATTGATGTACCTGAATATATCAATGAAATTCCCACTGTCCCTACTTACTGTCCAGCAAAACTGTAGCCAAGTGAACAGGCTCAGGGGAAAAAAAATAGGGAAAAAAGACACTGTTGACTCTAGTCTGGTTCTGTGAAGGAAGACACATCAGAGGTCTAGCATAAATGTTGTGCAACTCAAGCCATTGTCCAGTTGCCAGTGAGATACCAATTTTTTTTTTTTTTTTTAACACTTACCTAGAATCCTCGCACAGAGCAGAAGATCAAGGCTTGATCTTGATTTTCAGTACAAATACCATCCATGAAAGCAGGGCCTCACAATCCTTCTGACTTTTTGGGTTATAAGCAGGCAGTCAGGAGACAGTGGATGAAGTACTCTAGGCATTACTCTCCACATAAGGAACTCTACCATCTACGTGGTTGACAGACAGTGCAAAACAACCTGCAGAATTCAGCCGGTGCCTGCAAGGACTTGTTATCCTGGGAATATGAGGCTGTCTGGGCATCCCCACCACATCTCTCCCCATAGTGGCCCTGAAGAAAAGGCCCAGAGAGGTGTCACTCCCTGGTTGTGGAACAGGGAACCTATTTGCCACATAGGGGAGCAGGACTGGGACTTCCACCATGACAGCCTCTGGTACCATGTGAACCACACAGGACTAGGAGCATGGGGGGGAGGGGGGGAGTGGAAAAAAAAAAAAATCAGTCCTCTCTCTCTGGCGGCTGTCCCCTGCCCAGCATCCTGTAACAACTCCACATCCCTCCCAGATGACACCCAAGGCCTGAGAAGAGCCAAATCCAAAGCAATCCCACAAGCCTCCACATCACCCCTCAAGCCCTGATAGCAGTCCCACATCTGTCTCCTGCTAGTCACCAGATGTTACCACCTTTATCAACATGCAGGCATTCTGCCTTGCACCTGCTCCCAGATATACCAGACCCATCTGTGTGTTCTGGTCTCCTGCCCTCTCCCATCCCTCCCCATACCTCTTTCTGTTCCCTGAACTGCCTAGGAAGGAAAAGCCACTTTGTAGGGCAGACTGTGTGACATGCATGACAATCCCAAACCCACACCTATTTCACAAATAACTCCTGGGATGAGCACATTCAGGTCACATCCTCCCCACTTGAGAATGTCCTGCCCCCCCTTCACACCCATGTTCCCCATAGACAACCAGGAGGCTTGTGCTCAAAGAGAAGTCTTTCTTTTTTAAACAGAACTTTTTTCAACCCTTGTTCCTCAGGATTTTCTTTTTTGCAAAGGTAAAGCATTATCTGAACAACCTCTGCATATATATCTCATGTGTGTGCGTGCATACATTTATACACTTAAACAGTCCTGCAGACTTGTGTCACCCATAGCAGCCCATCCTGTTTCATAGCAGAGAAGACAACTCCAACAAACAGCAAAAAAGCTGTCCCACTCAGCTAGAGGAATGCACTGAACCACATGCATCTGGAGCACACCAGCTCCAGATGGGAGTCTTTGACTTGAGTGTAAACATGTCGCTTTACAGTATTTCTAGTCACTGGCTGGATTAGACAGTGCCATGCTAGGACAGATGCCACATTCACCTGTGCCCAGTCCTTGGGGATAGCATGCCCAAGGACACTGAAAAGTCCTTTAAGAGGTGGCAAGCAGTCCTCACTTTGCACCTGGACTGTGATTTTCTAACTCAATTAGATACCTATGAGTAGAAATGGAGGCAAGGGAGAAAGGCAAGGAGATGTCTTTCTGAGAAAGGTGGCCACAATAACACAGCCCATCTGTCCAGAGCAATGTTTCTGCATATTGCTCAGTCTCTGTCACTAAGCAAGTAGCCCCCAGAGGAAATGTCTCTTCATTCTGCCTGAGAGCTCCTCACTGTCTTTGAGGAAAGATACTAATAAAAACTGGTCAAGACAGAGTAGAGGCAGAGGTCCAGGCTGGCAGGCTGGGGGACAGCCCACTTCTAGTCATAGGCATCATCATCATCAAAGTAGGAGTCACAATCAAGGTTATCTGACTCATCATCAAACAGAAAGTTGTCTTCATCAAGGTCATCATCATCATCATAGTCTTCCTGCCACTGCGGTTCATACTCATCTTCAACCACTTTGCCACCTTCATCTGTGTTGGGGGAGTCACACAAGATGGTACGTTTTGGCCTATTGAGGAGGAGAGCATCAGAGCAGAGCCCCAGCTGTGAGCAGCAACCACAACCCAGCCACACACCACCCTTGTCCTCCCTACTACCATCACCTCAGCATCCCCATCAAAAGCCATGCCTCAGGGACACAGCAGCCATGCAGGTGCACCTAGGAGAAGGTGACTAAATGGCCTTGTCCATGCATGCAGCACAGGGCTGTGTCAGAGCGCCACCTGTGTGACTGGGCCAACAAGCTGCAGTCTGCCACCAGCTCTGGTGTCACAGCCTCATTGAAATGAGACCAGAAACCCTGAAACAGTGTCTCTTGACTCAGTTGTCATTCTTTCTTGCAACACTCAGCACCCTGTTCAGCTCCTGGAAACACAGCAGCTGTCAGAGGGGATTGGTCACACCAGGATAGCAGATGCCAGTTGTGCTTCTTTTTTCAAATAGTGTCATACAGGAATCAACTTTGTTTTGAACTCATCACCTTCCAATCATACTTAACACCTGCCAGCTCAGTACTCTAGGACAGGGAAACAACAAACCATCCATTTCACCTCTCAACACACTATTTTACAGCTGTGTCACCTTTTCTCCATTCCCTTCTTAAAATAGGTATCAGGCCCTTCCATTTCCCCCATGTATGTTCTGCTTCTCTCATCTAGACACCTCCTAGATCTCTGATACACCTCTGAAGAAAGAGTGCAACTCTCCACAGAAACCCAGGAGTATCAGGGAGAGCAACTTCCATATCCAGTGATGGAGCTTTCTTAACCATAGCTGCATTAGATACTTATGAGCAGAAATGGAGGCAAGGGAGAAAGGCAAGGAGATGTCTTTCTGAGAGAGCTGGCCACAATAACACAGCCCATCTGTCCAGAGCAATGTTTCTGCATATTGCTCAGTCTCTGTCACTAAGCAAGTAGCCCCCAGAGGAAATGTCTCTTCATTCTGCCTGAGAGCTCCTCACTGTCTTTGAGGAAAGATACTAATAAAAACTGGTCAAGACAGAGTAGAGGCAGAGGTCCAGGCTGGCAGGCTGGGTGACAGCCCACTTCTAGTCATAGGCATCATCATCATCAAAGTAGGAGTCACAATCAAGGTTATCTGACTCAAAGTTTTCTTCATCAAGGTCATCATACCAAACCTCCAAGCGGAGGTTTTGCTGGTCTCCCTACACCACTAATGTCACTTACATTGTTCTCTCAAACCACAACACAGTATGCAAGTAACAAGTGTATCTTATTAATTCTTTTGTATGTCAGCAAGATCAGCAGAAAACTGCTGGTCACCTGCTTTTTGTCTGCACTCACCCACCTTTCCTTGTTACCCAGCTAAGAAAACTCACCCTATACAGGCAGGGGCTGAAGTAGGCACATTTGACAGTTCCACCTTTCTCTGACCAGGATCTGCCAAAGTCTGGAGCCCAACATGGAAATCCTGCTAGCATGGAAGAACAGCCAGAAGAGAAAGAGAGTATGTGATTGGGATGTTTTGTGCTGCAAACCCCTTCCCTACATACACACAGCACTGAGAGGCTATCCTCTCAGCTGATCAAGCCCCTTTCTAGGTTTGCCCAAGATCAAACCAGACCAGAGCAAGACCAGCCACTAATGGGCATGTGGACTTCACCTGTGTGGAGTGCCAGAGAATTGCAAAGAGACGCTTCTTGATCTGGTGTACCAACTCCAAACCAGCACTGAAATGCTCTGCTTTCAGGAGCTGAAGAGAAGAGGCCAGGTCCTGGTACTGCAGCAGGGTTTCCTCTGCAATTCAAGGCCAACAAAGTCATGCTGCTTCCCACACTCCTAAGCAGAGACTGATTCCTTGGCTCTAAGTATGAAGCCAGTCACAGCTACTTAGGTCTTATGTGCACATATATTCCTCTTTCAGAAGGGAACATGTTGCTCTTTACTGCATCAATCTCCACCGGCAGCCAAACAGCTTCAGTGGGCTTCCCAGAAATTACATCAAAAGGCAAAAATGGGCGGGGAGAAGTGAGAGACACCATCTGGGTGCTGGCATGTATGCTATTGCCCCACTACAGAGCTGCCATCCGTTGAACCGGACAGCTGCGAATGGTAGTCTCTACTTTGGAGAGGCTGTGGGACTTACCCAGAAGGATTTGCAGAGCATTAGTGTGCAGCTCTAGGCTTTCAGTTTGCTGTTCCACAGTATCCATGCTCTCAGTGTCCTGGTTATAGTAGCTGTACACACAGGAGTAGGCCAGCACCTGGAGCAGTACAGATCATACTGTAAGCATCCTCCTTCAGCTTCAGGGCAAGAAGAGAGTAGCATCAAACCCTTCCAGACTTCATTATGTATCGGTGGCTGAGAGAAGCCTGGCAGTGCTTCTGGTCTGTGGTGATAGCCCAGTGAACCATTATGTCATGAAGTGACAGCAGTGCCAGGCTGCCTAGAGATACTCGTAGGATTGGAAATGGATGTGTAAGTATTTTGTACTGAAATCTGAAATAACTGACTGTTCCCACCTGCAAACCATCACAAGAATGCAGACTGTAAATGCATAACAAGTTTGACTGTGCCTGCTGATCAGTCACAACAACCAGCACACAGAGTCTACACATTGCTGGGCACCCCAGGTTGAACTCAAGTAGCAATGAACTGAGAGATGTGAGCCCAAAGGGAAGTAGACATGGTGCTACACAGCACCAAGAGCCACAACAAAGGCATTGCAACAATCGACAAGCTCCTATTATGAATGAATGAGCCCTAAAGGCACTTAGCAGGAAATAGGATCACTGTTTCCATTTAAAGAAGTGGGCCAGAAAAGCCAGCAGTAGCAAGCAACAGTGACACATATCCTGGCAAACACTGGGCTACCATACTGAAGACAGAACAGGGTCAGACACCCTTCTTCCACATGCCTCTCTCAAAATTAAGACTATGTTTCAGGGAATAGAAGACATTGCAGACTTATGCTGTCACAGGCTTACTGCACACATCCAGTGGCTGCACTGCAAATCCTTCATAATGTGTCTATCAGGGCATGCAGTATGTAACTCAGTGCTCCCAAGACAGCTACGGCTCATGAAATTAAGTTAAGAAAGGAAAATCATAACATGAACATCAAGAGGGACGTCCTAACTGTAACACAGCAACAGGAGAGTTTTCTAAAGGTAAATACCACCACTGTGGCATTTCAAATTGGAATGAACCCTAAATATAGATCCTTGTGCTGATTCCATGGTATCAACTTGAGCTAAGCTCCAATCCTATGACCTGACTGCGAGGAATGCTGCAGACAGAGCCCAAACTCAGAGAGCAGGGAAAGGCAGACATGAGCTCTTCCCTTGTCCTAATGCTATTCCTCCCCTCAAGGTTTTTCTGTCATCATCATCTGTCCGTCCCCATCCCTCCCATTTGGAGTAGAGCAAGGTTGGCGTCTCCTTACTTTAAGAAAGGCATAAAACACACCAACAGAATTAGACTTAAACCTCATCCAGCCTTACCTTCCGTGCCTGTTCCAGGACTTTGCAGGCATCAAGAACAAAGGTCAAAGTCCTAATTTTTGGCATCTCACTGATGGAAGAAACCCTGTTCCTCAGACTCATGGCAAATTCCTGCAATAACCACAGGAAGAAAAAAAAAAGTCAGTGTCAAGCTCTGCAAGATCAAAAAAAAAAAAAGAGCACCTTCCACACAGGTAATTGCTAAGCATCCTGAAGTGCCATCCCAGAAGATGCAGACAGCAGGAAAGCATTTACTATATCCAACTATGACATCTCTACTGTGCCATCACTTCAACCTTTTACAGTATCTCAGGTCTAGACAGAGTTCAGCCTTTAGTCACCATTGCTTCCAAGTACTGCATCAGTTTGAGCACGTGAACACCACAAGTTAGGTGTTCAGTTTCCACAACAGTCAGTAGAAGCAAGCCAGCCAAGAACTACCCATTGCGTCAGAGCAAGGGTGAAATGAGCAGGTATCCCAATGTGGATCCGAAGCCTACTTCTCAGCTTCAGATGAAATACATTGAGACACAACAGAAACCATCCTGCTCACCAGGACTAAGACAACAGAGTCAGCATCTGCAAAGGAAGGAGGAAGCCTTACCCTTGCATGATGATGAAAGGTGCATCTCTCATTGTAATCCTGAAAACGCTTCTCCTGCCAAGCTGCTTTACTCACCTGAAAGGAAAGGCAAAGTAACCTGTAGCAATTTTCCTCAAGTACCAGGGTTGCCTGGAAAAGGCTACCACATATACAGACTTTGACAATATTATCAATATTACTGGCAAGTGCACGAAGTCCAGAGTAAAGGGCACAAGTGGAGATCCTCACCCTCTCTCTGAGAGGCCAGGTGCATCTGAACACAAGCAAGAACCACTGCAATATAGCAAACCACTCACCATAGCAGAGCAGTTGTAATAATCCTTATGAGTTGGCCTCCAGGGCTTGAGACAACGCCAACAGAAGCCATGATTACACTTTGCACATGTCATACTGCATGATAGGAGAACAACAATGGGAATCACTCAGTCCTAACAGCCACTTGTAGATAGTCCCTCCCCGTGCTCCCCTACATCACAGGGCTGGAGCATACAACCCTGCACTCCCATTCACTCACTACTATGCATTTCCCTGCATATATTTTTTTAAAGCCTTTCCTGGAAGCAGATGATGCTTAAAACCAGCCACCATGTCTCTGAAAATGAGCTGGGCAAATTTGCAGCACAGTCTCACAGTACCAACTTACCAAGTACTTGCAGAATAAACAAAGCATTCCACAGTTTGGAGCAAGATCCACATGAGCACCTCACCTCTTCCCTCAGTAATGCAGTACTCCACAGTGCAGAAAGGTACTGCACAGCCCTAGGGCCACACAACATGTGGGGACAAATCACAGCTGGGCACTAAGGGCTGTGCCAGTGCAAGAAAGAAACAAATGGCAACTCCTAAGCCCTGGCCTCAAAGCCGGAGGTAATTCCCCCATCATGTAAAAAGCCGCCAGAGATCCAAGCCAATTCAAGAGAGGCAGTTAAAATAAAATTGCTTAAAGTTACAGAAATAGGTGAGCATGAAAGAAAAAATGGTCCCAAGATATCTGCTCCCCTAACCTGTACCTCCGTACATCTATAGCAGATTCTGAGAGCAGACAAGTGTGCACTATAAAAAGATACTGCAAAATGAGTTGTGGTTCTACTACAGAGTTATCAATGGATTTAACTCTGAATGCTGGGAAACATTTTGTTTTTCCTAGGAATTAAAAGCAATCACTCATTCCTTTAAAGCTGTAAAACAGACTCTTACTCCACAGACTCTTACTCCACAGTCAAAAAAAAAAAAAAGCACAATGGATCTAACTGTATGTCTTTGCCCTCTCCCATCTCCAGTAGCAAATGAAAATAGATACTCACTGCAGGCACCCCTCATTTTTCTCTATCTGAGCCTGGCAGCTTGGGCAGTGCTTTGAAATGAGCTTAGCCAGATGTTTGCTTTGGGCTTCGCTTGTCATTCCCTCATAGTACCCATCATCATCCACCCACTGAGACATGTGGCTGCAGCTAGCAGGATAATGGGCCTGAAAGAGAGTGCCAGTCAACCACACAAAAGCAGAATGGTGTGTGCCAAACCCAAGACAGTGTTGTGATTCAGCTCAGCCTCACCTCTGGGAAGTTGCAGTTGAAGCAGGATATCCAGGAACACTTGGAACAGGCTGCCCCATAACCAAGTCCATCCTTAAGGAGGATCTGATCACAGCCCTGAGGGTTGGTGCACCATGTCAGGTTGGAGCAGCACTCAACATAGCCTCTGAGGAGGGCTTTCTCATACTGTAATAAGAAGCCAGGAAGGAGATTTAAGGCAGAGAAACTGCACAGTTAGGCCTTACCACTGGGGTCTGGCGCCTCTGGGCTCTGTATCTGACTGAATCACTGTTCATTTGTCTTAGATTTTTACAGCTGCTTCCAGCACACCAGCTGAGGATACTTGTCACAAGCTGCTACCACAGCCCTCACCTGGTCCTCAACAAAGGATGCACCTGAAGTGTTGTTTGCTGGTGACACATTTAGGGGAAACACCACTATGCTCTTTTGCTAATGTTATGCTTTCCTGAATAGCTGGTATTGAACATCATCAGAGACAACAGACACCACTGGGCAGAAATCCGGTCTGCCTCAGTTATCACACTGCCAGTCTTAGTAATGGGAAGGAGAAAAGCAGCAGCAAGATCTGCTAGTGCTGACCAAAATGAAACAGAGCTTGGACACCCAGTAACCACCTCTCCTACTTCACCTTGGCTATAATCTCCTCAGAGGAAACAATGGAGCAAATGAAGGCTGTAGTTGGCTGTGCACGGCACTCAGATATAGGACAGGTGCAGTTGACAACCATGTTCTGTTCAATGCGAGTTGTGAGATACTCTCTCCAACAGGGCTGTGAAGGCAGAAGAGGAGAGATCAGAGCTAAACAGGGGCCACACCACCTGGGTTATGTGACCCTTGAAGCCCTCCCCACCCAGCAGAGGGTGCACAAAACCACCACAAACAGTGGATAAAGTACTCAAAAAGCACAAAATGGGAACAGACTAATCAGGAGCTAAAGGATCACAACAAACAAGGGAGCTGAGAAAAGAGGAGAACGTATGAGTTCTGTGAAAATCACCTTATAACAGATTCAGATAAAGCCAAACAACTGCCACCAACTGGGCAGCAGCAATTCCCTACCAAATTACAGGAGCCAAAGACCGCAGGACCTTCACCTTGCAGCAGTAGTGCATGCAACAGAGGGTTGGTGGCTTCTCAGTGGGACACAGCTGGTTCACACAGACTGGGCAGTGGGTTCCTGGGCTCGGGGCAGGCTGGGCATCCTGCACTTGCAGCCCCGAGGAGATAAGTAGGGTCTCACGGTTCTCCACATAGCACTGGATCAAAAAATCCACATTCCACCTGCAGTGCATAAGGAGGTGCCGAGCAACATCATCCGGGATGCTCAGAGTATCCTGGACCTGCTGTACTGTCTGGTTCATGAGCAGCTTTGCCTCCTCTGGACTAAGCGTGTGCCCCATTGGCATCTGCAGCATTGCCATGAGAAACTGCTCCGACCTTCCTATGCCAGGATTCAACCTGTCGCGGAGAAATGTATCATGTCCATGCAAGGTGGAGATGCACACCCCTCCACACCTGGTGACATGCATTCCTACCAATACAGGCAGTCTATGCTGTCCTCATCCAGAGATACCTCTGGCAGCCTGCTCTGGAAAACCATCTGTGCTTGGCCCCCAAGAGGTGTTGTGGGCTCAGCAGAGACGTATTCCAAGACATGCGGCTTCTCCTCCTGGCGCCGGAGATGCAGCCCCTCTCTGCCCCTCGAGCCCTCCATACCCGGAACACCAGGTTGTCACTGTGGAGCTGCTTCTCCACCTTGAGGATGCGGGTGATGAGGCAGCAGAGAACATTCCTCTTCCTTTCCAGGGCACTGACCTCAGCCCTCTCTGCCTGCAGGTACCTCTGTCGGGGCAGC